ATAGGCAAAAATTCTCAACAAGGTTTTTGGAAACCAAATCCAGCAATGTATAAACCTTTGATGTTTATCTAGTATTGAAAAGTTGGTTTAATAAGTGGAAATTAATCAATATGATTCACCACATTAACAGAATAAATGAGAAAAATCATTATCCTTTTGATAGGTACAGTAAAATCATTTGCTAAAATTGAATACCTAATTCTGATTGTAACACATATTTTTAGAAATCTAGGAATAGAAGAAAAATTCCTCCTATTGATAGAGAGCAGTTATAAAGAACCTACAGCTGATGTCTTACTTAATGCTAAAAGACTGACTACTTTCCCTCTTCAGGAACAAGGCAAGGATGGCAACTCCCACCACTCTGTTCAGCAGTGTGCAGGAGGTTCCAGCTGTGCAATGGCGGGCCAAAAAGATAACAAAATCAAAAAGAGTTTTTAAACTCCTCAAAAGTGTTGCCTACATTCACTGTTTCTGCTTTTCCCCCGTTCTTCCTTGAATTCACTCCCATCAGACTGCCCCTCCCCCACCCACCGGTCCATCACAACTTCTCTTGCAAAGATCACTGTACACCTCCATATTGCCAAATCTAACAGTTAATTCTTCATGCAATTTGACCTATAAGCATCATTTGACATAACAGATGTTCCCTCTTCCTTTAAACTTTTTTTTCACTTGCTGTTTTGTACTTTCTGTTTTTTTTTTTTTTTTTTGAACTCATTTGTCACTTCTGCTGAATCACTTCGTTGGTATCTCTTCACCTGCCCAACCTCTAAATGTTGGAATTCTCAGAGCTCAGTTCTCAAACCTCTTCTCCATGCTTTCTGTACTCTCTCCCTAAATGGCTTGAAATAGCCCATATACACTAATAATTCTCCCAGATTTTGTAAATCTCCAGCCAGAACTTTTCCCCTGTGCTCCAGATTCCTTAACCCAACTGCTTCCTCGACATCTGACATCTCTGACATCTCCTTTGGAGCAATGATGTGCACGCAAAGCTTAACATGTGCAAAAGGAAATCCCGGACCTTCCCTCCACCCAAACCCAAAGGCTGCTCCTCCTGCAGTCTTCCCCTCCTCTGTACATAGTAATTCCATTCTTCATCCTGCTCAGGACAGAAACCTTAGCATGATGCTTCACTCATCTTTTCACTATCCCATATCTAAATTGATCAGCAAATCCTATCAGACTGCCTTCAGATATATACAGAATATAATGATTTCTCACTGCTTCCTCTGACCACCCAGGTCTTAATTGATTTTCTTTCTGATTGGGGTTAACAGCCCCATAACTGATGCTCTGGCTCCACTTTTGTTCCCTCTACAGTTCATTCTCTGGACAACAGCCAGAATGGTTTCCTAAGACATAAGTCAGACCACATTTCCCCTCAGCTCAAACCATTCTCCTGTTCCTCCAACGCATTCCAAGTAGGATCTGCCCCTGGTTACCTCTCTGCTTCATCTCCTGCCACTTTCCCACTCGTGCCCTCCACTGTAGACCTCCTTGCTGCTCTGGGCACATGACAAGCATGCTCCCATCCCAAGATGCTCCTTCCCCAAGATGCTGCCACCCCAAGGCCTCTCAGTGATCTGCACAGAGCGCACCCCGCCTCCTTAGGTCTCTACTCAGACATCCCCAGGGAGGCCTTCTCTGATACCCCTATTTAAAATAGCTATCCCCACCCTGGCGTCTAATCCTGTATTCATTTTTCTGTCTTCTCTGCCATAAACCTATAAGCTACACAAGGACAGGGATTTTATATCTTTTTAAATTGCTGTATTCCCAGTACATAGAACAGTGTCTGGCACATAGTCACTCATTCCTTGGTGAATGAATGAATTTATTCCTTTATTTATTTACTGAATTTCTATCTGTCAGGCACTGCCCTTATGGAGCTCACAATCTAGTAAAAGCAGTAGTAATAACTACCATTTCTGAGTAGATACTAATCACTTTGTAGGTGCCATTTTCTTCAGTCCTTACAATGGCCCATTTAACAGATGAGGAAACAAGCTTGATCCAGTTAAGTAGCTAGTATATACTACCTTCTCTCAAAACCCGTTTGTTAACTACTGCTTCTCACTGAAATAACATTCTTCCGTGTTAACATGTAGATGATATCTCCATAAAATTTTGTCAATAGTTTAAGTATATTTAAATAGTGAATCTCAACAAATAATTCCTTGACGAGGCCTGCAGTGAAGCAAGCATCTCTGGAAATGGAATTTCTCAGGGGCCTCTCACAGCTACCTTCTTTTCTGCTACTTCTTGCTGCCTCCTGTCTTTTCTCTCCTTCTCTGCTCCACTCTGAATGACCATTTTATTTAACTTTTTCAACTTTATTTTATTTTGTGTCTGCCTTTCTTTCTGCTATTCCTAAGCTGTTCCGTTGCTCTTTCCTCTGGAACTCTGCTTTCTTCCATCTCTTTAGTTTCCTCTTTTGTCTTTTTTGACCCTCCTGTCAACAAGTCTGCTCAGGAATCACCTGTCTCAAAAAATATACACACACCACCACCACCACCAGCAACAAATGTTGCATCAACCCTCCTGTCCCTTCTAGTGTCTTTCTTATTTCTGCTTTTCTCTTCACTGTGACTTATAGTTCTTAGCACCTGTTGACTCCTGTTTTGTCACTACCAGTTCGTTCTTTATCCTCTTGTCCTCATGGGACAGTGCATTGCACTCTTGAACTTCCAGTTGTTAAATGGCCTTCCTCATGATAAACTCCACGCCCTGAGACTTCTTCCTGTTGGTCACCATGGCGCCCTCCGGGACTACAGAGAACATCTGTTCACACTTCCACGTAGAACTCTTCAGAGAGTTGCTGAAGGCAACCAGAGTTTCCCCTCCAGACTTCTTTTCTGCAAAGTAAAAGCCCCTGGATCTTTTAAGTCATTATTCAGACATAGAATTTTAACTTTTCTAAAATGCTTTAGTTTCTTAATGTGTAATTAATAATCTTTATAGTCTCAAGTCAGTACTAATCTACATTTTTTAATGGAGAAAAGATTTAAAAAGTACAACTTGCTCAGATTCTCTAGCTTTATTTCATTTTTTTAGTGACCCTGTATGTGTGGCATCGAAGGGCATGAAAGGTATTTTCCTATGGAAGTTGTCCCTTTGTTTGCAAGCTGTCTAGATGACATGCAGTGTTTAAACATCCTACTTTGGATTCATAGAAAATGAAATTATCAAAGTCCTTGCTGACGGTGGTAGTGTACATTCATAAATGGCGTAGCTGAGTTTTTGATGCTATGTGCAGGACAGTCCCTTCATTCCTATTAATTGTCTGCGTATGAGATCCTGTCCACCACCCTAGTCTGCTAAGATACGTTTCGATCATGATTCTGCAGGCAAGGCCGTACCAGTAACCTCACGTCAATAGCATCCTGTGTCTGTTTCCCTTCCAGTCATTGATGAAAGTGTTGAATAAGATATGGTGTTCTGTTTTCAAAGGTTGTTGACACCCACCATCTTATCATGTTTCTGGAATTAAGTCCTTTGGAAGTGTGCCCAGTTCACACCACATCCTGATCTCTGTGGTGTGGGGTTTTCTGGGGGTACCCTGCAGCTTGGCAGCAGGACCTCTGGCAGGGCACCCTTCCTGGTTACACTTCAGCACGCACTCAGCTGCTCTCAGACATCCCCACCTGCCACCTTTCTTAGCCCCCATCTGTCAGTTATGACCTGCAGGTCAAGGCTGTGCCCATCCTGAATTTCAGCCATTAATGTCCACGCCCACCATGACAGCATGCCTCCCCTAACACAAAAAACCAGGAGGAGACGAGAATCAGAATGAATGTGAATGAATGAAGAGTTAACAATTTTGAGAATTGTGACTTCTTTGCAGGGGCGCTCTTTGGACTAAGAACAAACAAATCTGATGTCTAGACTCTCTTCTGCATCTTCCCCTCTCCTGAAGGCAGGGGGAGTCCATTCAGAACACCTCTAGAGTGACTTCTCGTCTAACTCCCATCACGTTTGTCCTCGGCCAGGAACCTACTGCCAGCAGAGAGAGGTGGAAGCCATCATGGAAGGTGACGAGGATGACAGAGGCTGCTGCTGCTGCAAACCAGGCCACCTGCCGCACCTGCTGTCCTGCAACGCTGCGTTCCACCTCCGCTGGCTCACCTGGGAGATCACGCGGACGCAGTACATCCTGGAGGGCTACAGCATCATAGACAACAACGCGGCCACCATGCTGCAGGTGTTCGACCTCCGCAGGATCCTCATCCGGTACTACGTCAAGGTATCGCTCTGCTTCCCAAACACTTGTCTAAGAGTCATGCTAGGCTGGCGCAGGAAGCTCCTACAGAGCTTTGCATTATAGAAAGTTAGATTTTAAAGCTTCTCCTCAGCCTCTGAATCAGCAGCCCAGCAGGTTTGGGAACCGTTGCTTTTGTGACAAATCCTAGAGGGCTTTGCTTTAGCCTGAGGTTGGTGCCCCTGAGTCGCACTCTAAGCCCGGGCACTACCAGACAGTCCATCCTCCTTCCTAGGTCTGCGTCTGTACTGCCACCACAGCACGAGTTGCTCGTAATGATGGTGATGACAAATTTAAACATCCTAGAAATACTACTAAGCCTCGACGTTTGAGTTATAAGTGTTGAATTAGATGCTTTGCAAATTGTTCGCTTTAGAATCGAATTATATTTTAAGCTCAAGATGAAAACTCAAAAAGATAGCTAAACGATCCAATCAGGATGGGTTATGACAGCCTTTTCTCCTACTGAAGTAGAGACTAATAACATTTTTTCAGTTGTCTGCCCAACCTGTGTACTGCCTCAGAAGACGTGCTAGTTTGGAATAAATCTCCCAGAGAACAAGCGGGGCACTGGACCGAGGATGCAGAGTGCTGATCAGGGCTGGGTGTTTTCTGAGGGGACGGAGAGGTGAGGGCAGCGTGGCTGAGGATGTCTCTGCAGTGGGTCCTATGCTGGGAGAGGACTTTGCACGGTGGGATCCCTGGGCAGTCCACAGAGGGGTCCACATTTTAATGTTCAAAAACAGGAAGCTCATCCATCTGAGACCACAAAACTCCCTGCCAGCCGAGGCTGAGACAGGTGGCCCGGCACAAATGAGGAAATACAGAATAAAAAGACAACACGAGCTCCTGAAATTTCAACTAGCTAACAAGCAGGACGTTTGCTTAGAAGTTTGGAATAGCTACTATGGGGATCCCCCACATCTGCAGTCTCTGCTGAAGCTTCCTGGACACAGAAAATAGACTGTGACAGTCCGAAGGGTAAATGACTCCCGGTTATCATCCCCCAGGTGATCGCAGCATGAAATGTTAGCAAAACCTCTTTCTGCGGCAGAATATTTACAACAGATCTGGCAGTTCGTACCACCTTCGTGCGTGCTAGAGAGATGTAAAATGCTCTATCCAAATTTCACACAAAGCTATGTGTCTTTTGTCCAACCTAATGAAATTGGGGAAGATTTGAGAAGCAAATCAGGGGGTTGTGACCTGTTACCTAAGTTCTAGGCAAATTCAGTGTACAATTGGAGTTAGACTTGGCAGGAGGACATGAAATAATAGTAGCACACACGTTGGAAGTTTATTTCTTTTTTTTCAAATAAAAAAAAAAAAATTAGAGACAGGATCTTGCTATGTTGCCCAGGCTAGACTCAAACTCCTGAGCTCAGCGATCCTCCCACCTCAGCCTCCTTCGTGGCTGGAACTATAGTTGTGAACCACCATGCCCAGCTAAGAAGCTTATTTCTCTCCCACATGGATCAAGGCTGGTATGGTCGTTCTGCTCCATAAAGTCCTCGGGACCCAGGTTCCTGCCAGCCCCCAGCTCCCCCGTTTTAAGTGTATGCCCCATCTTTGTGTTCCAAGATCTAAGTTCCAGGCTTAAAGGGGAAAAGACAAAGAAAATGAAGACTGATGGGCATGCACCAACTGCCCCTTAGAAGTTTCCTGGAAGTTGCCACAGTATGCTCCTGCTATATCCCGTCAGCCAGAATGTTGTCACATGCCACCAGAGGGTCTGGAAAGTGTACCCTGTACCACGAGCCCAGAATGAAACTGTGAGCTTGTGGAAGACAGAGAAGACAGATGACGAATGGTAACCGACCATCTCTGTTGTCTGCCTCATGAAGGAGAAGAAGTGTCCCTTGGGTGTCTCCTTTACTTCTCAGGAGGCAGCAGGACAGGGTGGTTGCAGGAAGGGCTGGATCCAGGGGCTGACTGGTCAAGAGGACTTCCAGGCCCGGGAAGCAGGTGGCCAGGAGGGGGCAGCTGGGCCAGCAGTGTGGGTCTATACAGGCTGGATAGATGAGCCCTGGAGTTGGGCGGCTGCTTGTTGCCTCAAAAATAGGGCTAGACTCTTCTGTCTGCCATGCAGAGCCCTCCACTGCTGCTTCCAGCTGTGTTTCCCACTCCCACTCTCCCCCCACCACTTTGTGCACACTCTACGCACACACTCCCTGTGCTCCCCACCCCCGTGCCCTTGCACGCTGCTCACTCCTCCTGCAGGGACTCTCCCCTCCCTCCCACGTGCCCTCAGCTTCTCTGCCAGTCTCAGCTCCCATGGCAGCTCTTCCTCCCCAGCTGCCTGCACATCACACCTGGCATTCACCTCCTCTTCCTCTGTAAACCTCTCCTCCTTCATGGCAGCTCCTGAGACAGAGGAGCCACACCTGACTCCTGCTGGGGTCCCCAGAGCTCTGCGTGATGACTTGCATATCGAGGTGCCAGATACATTTTTTTGGACTGAATGAACAAAGGTTCTAGCTAACGTGGATTTGGAGTCTGGACAGAAGAGGTCCAAATCCAGGCAAGGGCCTGAGCACCCTGCTCCAGGCGTGAGTGGTGAGACCTGGGTTCGGTACTGAGCCACCTCTCTGCCTTTTCGTGACACAGACGTGTGGACAGACCTGACCCACACCATGGGGCCAGCCGCGGGGGAGGAGGATGAGGCAACAGGTGAGGTTGAGAGGCCTTGTCCAGGTCCACCCTCCCTGGCTGAACCCTCTCGGCTTTTCCAGAGGTCTCTGGGGCTCCACGACTGGACCAGCTTTTTGATGCTTCCAGGAGAGGCAGGCAGTGCCCTGATGTGTTCCTAGCACGGCGCTTCTCACCAGGCAGGGCAGCCCCGTGGCAGACCCCCAGCAAGCTGAATAATTGCAGATTCCCAAGTCCCACCCAGAAATTCTGATCCATGGCCCTGGGGTGGGGCCCCAGGACTTATATTGTTCAATAAGTTTCCTGCATGATTTGATACACAACGAGGCTTTGGAACCACCATAGACATAATTGGACCCAATAGAAACAAGAACTTTCTAAACTCCAAATCGGTGCTTAGGAGGGGCCGAGACTCTGGGGCCTCCCACTGCCCCTCTGGTTAATTCACACGGGCACTGTCGGGCCCATCACGTGAAGTCATCTCTAAATACGGCCATCTGTGCCTTCCTGCCCTTCAGTAAGGGCTGGCTCCGAACTTGCACTCGCGCCTCTGTGCAGCTAGTGCATGGAAATTTCAGGAGGGCTGGCTGGTTACTAGAACAGAAGGAACATTTTGGGGTGAAAACAAATGGATATTTTCTTCTTGGGCTTCGGTTGCTAGATGAACAAAGTTGCCTTTATAGCTCTGAATTAAAATTTCAGGAGTTCGGTTTCATTCTTTTTATTATTTTCTTATTGGACAGGCACATTGAAAAGGAGGAAAAATTTGAAATAATTCCTTTAGACAAAAGGATTTTTTTTTTAATCTCCTAATAAACTGGGTCAGTTCCCCCACCTTCTATGAATGTATTTGACATCATTTCCTTCCTGGCTGGCGACTCGAGGTTTTCCCTGGTGTCTCCTCCACCTCGCCTCGGTTTATTAGCGCTTAAAACCCTCTTAGCAGTCAAGAAATCAGCTTTCTGCGAGGGCTGGCTTTCCTGCTGCCATTGTTTCTGGGCAGCTCTTTCAGAAAGGAGATGCGCTTATCGCTTGCCTTGCAGAACGAGGAGTGAACAACCTGGTCTGCCTGCCAGGACCCCCTTCCTGGAGCACGAGTTGTCTGAGAGAAGACGCTGCTCTGCAATTAAAATGAGAACCCAGAAAATCCCTGCTGGAGGAGGCAGATATCCTGCATGAATTCGGGACGGGTCCCACTGTCAACGCGGCTCAGGCTGACCCTGTCAATGCATTCGCACCGCCGCTTATCTGTTCTATGTAGAGTTGTATCCATTTCATCCTGACAGATGCTGAAGGACTTCGCAGCATTCGTTGACTATGTCTCCATGACAAACTGGAGATGGGACATGGCTTGCAGCTGGCTGGGATGATTCTGCTTTCCACCCAGGGAGAGGTGTTGGTGCTGTCACTGGGGACGCTGGGCGGCAAAGCCGGGGCAAGGTCCTGAAGTCAACACTCGGGGTTTGGCCAGACCTAGAGGAGGAGGTTTTAACCGCTGGGATTCAAATCCCCCTTAACTATTCTGACTTCATCGGTGGTGGGTTATTTTCATTCCTCCCCAGAAATGAATGAAAAAGTAAACTTTCGTCTTCTGATTTTTGTTTGTTATTCCTATCTGGTACGTGATTAGGACATGCTGGGGAAAAACCAGACCAGATGTTTGCTAGAGCCAGATGTTTGCAGACCAAACCAAATTTCTTTTTTCTTTTTTTCCCCCTTTGTAACGCTCAGCTGAGAAGCGGTGCCTGTGGCCACGGGCACAGGTCCTGGGCATCGTGACTCTCTTTTGCTTCTAACTTTGGGCTGACTTACTCAAACTGTCTACCGCATAGAAGCTTTAATTGATCCAGCCAGCAAGGAGACAAGAGAAAACCCTCCAGATTCAAAATTTATATTTTTGAATATCAGATGCACACTCTGGTGACCACTACGGACGCAGCCGTGTCCTGCCCCCTAATGCCGCCCCGTTCCCTCACCCCTCTGCCTCAACCTCTCCTGGGCTGCTGCTTCTGCCTGCCTCCCCCGAGCCTCATGCTCTTCCTGCTTGCTGGGTAGGTAAGTCACAGATGTTCAAGATACGACACTTACGACTACTTCTTGCATATATGTGCCACGGGCCAGGCACGTGCTAAGTTCTTCATATACATCATCTCATTCTAAACCTCCGAACCACCACGCAAAATGGGCTTCCTGAGCGCATCTGTCTCGCCCTCCTCCTGCCTGCAGCTTCCATTGACCTCTTCCTCCATCCCTCCCTCTCTCCCTTCCTCCTTGTGTTGAAGGGCTTTCTCGATTTCATGGTTGTCCTGGGGCGCAGTGTTACAGAGGTTAGGAGAACAGGCATGCTACTCAATTCTAGATATTGCCTGCAGACTTCATTCCTCCACTTCCTCATTTTGAAGACAGGCTGATGGTGGCGCCTAATAGAAAATACGTCCAAAAGAAGCAAGGCCATAGCCAGGAGTCACATGGATTAGTCTCCCCATAGTCCAGGCTGCCCTCCGTCCTGACAGCAAGAGAAAGGCTAAGTCAGGCGTTTGCAATTGTTTAGCGGAAATCAGAGACCAGTGTGTCTCTCCCCTCACCTGCTCAAGCTCCTGAAAGACTTGAAACCAGACACCAGTAACCTGAGGCCTTGAGCTCTGGATTCCATTTCCCAGCCAGAGGGAGGGGAGGGCAGGAGCGGGTGGGAGCTCCCCTAGCAAAGGGCTTCTCTCTGTGTAGGCGTCAGTCACCGAAGCCTTTGTTCTGCCCACCTGAGGTTCGCTTACTTTCTGTTTTCTTGCTTGGAGAGAATGTGTTTTCGTAAGCAGTGAAGGCCAGCAGTTTAGTGCTTGACTCCAAGGGGAGCACGCATTCCTGCCGCTTTGCATCAAACACCGCGGGCCCCTTGTCCCTCGCGATTTCAAGATGAGACTTGCAGCCCTGTTCCGGGGTCCCCTGAGCCCCAGCAGCCCTGAGTGCCACTTCTCGTTTTCTGTTATAATGAGATCGTCGTGAATGTCGGAAAGGGACTCCTCAGCAGCAGACTTCGATCTGTTGCTGAAGTGCCCCTGTCAGGCTTGGATTTTTATTTTCTCTGTTGCATTTTTGTTCCTCATGGCCAGGTGCTAGCCTTGTTGAAGGATGAATTCATTCAAAAACTACAAGATGGCTTCCAATAAAGCTGTGACTTAGAACAGTGAAGCTGGAGGGAGGGAGGCGCTGTCCCCAGTTGGGACTGATAAGTACAGTGTCTGATTAAGGGGGAAACACGGGTCATTTCTGGACGGATCACAGATGCCCACTGCCTGGGCGCTCAGGATTAAGGGCGTATGTGTGTTACGGCGATCGTATGTCATTAGCGCTTTCCGTAAGAACTGTGTTGTTTTAGTTCATTAAATACCCTTTGGCCGGGGCCCTGGAAGAGGGTCTGTCCCAGTCCCATCAGCTGGAGATCAGCCCAGCCTGGCACCCACGAAAGCCCGCAGTAACCCAAGCAAAGGGAGCTTTTTTGTTCTTCTCTCAGAAAGGATAGGGCCAGCTGTCATTCTTCCTCATCACAGAAACTGTCCTGTTACATTCTGCTACATGATGTTCTCACTGTCCTCTTCCCTACCATAACCCTTGAGAGGACACTTTAGAATGTCTCAAATACGCATCAAACCTAGCAGGAAATACAAATGATACCACATGTCAGGATTTCATGCCTCCTACTTGCCGGAGGTTGGTTTACTTTCTCATATATAATAAGTAAAAAAAAACTCCCTGGCTTTAGAATGGCTTTAAGGGCTCAAAATCCTGCTTTCTCTCTGCAGAGTATAATATACTATATGGTAACGTCCCCCAAGCTCCTTTCCTGGATCAAAAATGAATCGCTTCTGAAGTCCCTGCAGCCCTTTGCCAAGTGGCATTACATTGAGCGTGACCTTGCAATGTTCAACATTAACATTGACGACGACTACGTCCCGTGTCTCCAGGGGATCACACGAGCTAGCTTCTGCAACGTTTATCTAGAATGGATTCAATACTGCGCACGGAAACGACAGGAGGTAGGTGAGGGAGTGGGGGTTGGGGGCACAGAATGCAAGTTTAAAAAACAAGGAACATTTTTATGTCCATCTCTTTCTTATGTTCTATGGTAGACTTATAAAATAGAGGAGAGGAAAAGTAATATTTGGGTACATGTTTAAGCGAAGCAAAATTAAACGGAAGAATCAATATACTCTGTCTCCAGTGAAGGAGACTTGAGGGCATTTGTCCCTTTATACTGTGCTCAGGGTCAGTGACGTTTTAAGCCTCTACACTGAAGCTTTAAGACATTGGAAACTTCTTTCTTTAAAATTACATTTTGAGATTTCCATACAAAGTATGTCTGTGCTGAAATCAGGAGGATTTACTGAACATGTTGAATCATGGACATGCAAATTCTATTTAGCAATCAGATGGTCCAAGTTATTCCTGTCGTCGTTATTTTCTTGTGTCATTATTGCTCTTGTGCCGAGAGCACTTCTCGAGGTGAATCCTGCCTCTTAGATATAAAATTAAGAACAGTGCCAGCTTACAAAAAGAAGAGCAGGAGTCAGAGGAGGAGGAGAAAGGGGAGGGTAGCAAATGTAGGGAATCCTTTACTTTGCTTCTTAGGATTTGCAAATCTGAGTCAATGGGTTGTGGCTGGAGAAAGTGGGTCCAAATTGGAAACAACTTCCTCAGCAGCTGGCGCAGTGTGTGGCGTGTGCTGTAGCACTGTGACACTGGCCCAGGTCTTTGACCTTTGTTTGAGTAATTAAAAACGTGGCGCAACCAACTTTCTTTAGAGAAACCGAGGAGGTGTGCTGATAATCTAACCCATGCTTGGCCTCTGCGGGTGGTTCAGATAATCAAAGAATCTATTGACATCCTTGGCTATGTTGCTGGGATGGCTCTGCTCTTTTCTCAGTTGCTTCATGAAATCATTTCATTTTTCCTGCAAAAGATATTTTGACTTCAAATTTCTCCTGCAGCCCTCCCCACCCTTTTGTTTTTAAGCTGACTTTGAACGACCCTTTTAATTTAGTTGTTGAGTGTGGACTTACAGTCAATCCAGAGGGCTCCTCATTGCTGGGAGAACAGAAGATTCTCATTTGCACGGGATTTGTGCAGTTTTTCTCTCCCTGCCCAACTGTGCCCCTCCTTTGTGTTGGCCAGCGCTAAGGTGAGCGTTCATTTGGCTGGAAGCACTGACCGTCTTTATGACCTGAATTTGAAATTCCAGAGAAGTAGGTCATCAACCCACCTCGAGGGCCGTTTTCTCTCCTAAAATAGCTTTCTCGTTTTTATTTTTATTTTTTTTCTGTGTCCAACCACAAAAGAAACTGCTTCAGGAAGCAGAGGGTTCCCCATCCCTGAGGTCATCGTAGAGGAGACCGGATGACCATATGGCTGACTTAAAAAACCTCCTCCCACCCTACATTTGCGATTCTGTGTGGGTACGTATTAGAACCTGATTGAAAGCTGAGTGGATGTCCTTGCTCTTTCAGCCTTCAAAGACCGTGGTGGACAGTGACGAGGACTCTCCCTTGGTGACTCTGTCCTTTGCCCTGTGCGTCCTGGGGAGGAGAGCTCTGGGCACCGCGGCCCACAATATGGCCATCAGGTACCTGGGGGAAGCAGTGGGAGTGTTGTAGACGGGTACGGGCCCCGCATCTTACATTTCTGATAGATTTTTATCACCTGTTTTCTTTATTCTAAAGTTGGACTGATTATACTTCTTTCAGATAGTTCTTTCAATAATGAATGGTGTTGGGCCTACGAGAAGACTGTTTTGATCACTTTGATCTTTTAGACGATTAGATTTGGAAATATTATTCATGTGTTACAGTCTGGGCAGGAATTCTGGGCAGAGGACCTTCTACCTTACAAAAGTCCTTGTGGATTTGCTGGGAAGATTCAGTGAAATCTGCATATGGGGTGGCTAGTTTGGCACCTAACAAAATTGATGCTCAATAAATGTTAGTTCCCTTTCCCATATTTTTCCTCACAAAAGAAAATCCTCACGTCTGAGCTCTAGTCCAGACCCGACTCTGCCCTGTCTCTGGAGCTCTAATTGGATGCTGCTTCTGTTTGCCAAACTCTGTCCCTCCTGGCTCTCCCCCTCCAGTAGGTAAACAGCCCAGGTCGCTCTTCTTAAAGAACAAAAACAAAATCAAACTCTTTGCTGGCCCTTGGTCACCCTCTGTCACTCGTGTGGTGTCATTCACAAGGGAAACAGCACTCACACCAGGGCCTCCGCCAGCCTGCCGGCTCCTCCTCGCACGCCAGCCACCCTGCTCTCACCTTCCACTCACCTTCCGCTCACCCACGTCCGTGGCCGTTGCCTTTGGCGTTTAGCGCTACAGGCCGGCAGGTCTGCACTCTGCCTGCCCGTTAGAATCGCCCCGGTGAGTGGGTCTCAGCCCCAGATCTCCTGTGGGACCGTAAAATATCCTGCTGCCCAGGCCCTACCCCAGCCCAGACCAATTCCGTTACAGCCCCTGTGGGCAGGACCGCACATCCTGATCTTTTAAAGCTCCCGGTGAGTTCAGTGGGCAGGCAAGATTGAGGACCATACACCCAGGGAGCTTAGAGAAGAAACGGAGCTTCCACTCAGCCTGCCCTCCCTGGCTTCTCCTGTACTTGGGCCTTATTCAGCGTGTCTGTGTTGTATTGTCGATCTAGTGCTCGGCAAAAGGGGGCCTTTGGACATTAACCTCAGTGAGTTTTGTGTTACTAGGTTGGATTACTAGTTCAGTAAGGGCAGAATCCACTTACCTATTTAACAACCCTCACGACCCTGGGCCATCAGGCAGACAAGTCCAGGGAGGCTCTTGTTGACTGTGTTTCTGAATGTCCTTGAAGGGGACGGCTGCGCGTCATGACTGGTGGCAGGTTGTTGAGAGGTGTCATGGGTTATGAGTTGTGAATTGGCAAAGGGTAAGGTGTGGTGGCTGGCAGCTCTTTTCGTTGCTCTCTGGAGACAGTAGCCTGGAGTCACCAAGAGGGAAAGGTAAGAACCCAGGGTAGTTAGAATTTGTGACATCAGCTGCTCTTTCAACTCCCACATCTCAGAATTCCATGATTTTCTTTACAGGTGAGAAATGCCCAGTGTCTGACCCTTAAAATCTCGTGGTAATGCCTGTCATAGGCAACTCCTCTGGGGAGGAGCTGAATGGTCTCTAGTCTCTCCCTGTCCTCCTACCTAACTCAGCCTCACACAGGACTCGGGCCGTTCACTTTGTGGCCCTCGGAGAATCAATTCGATAATTGTTGAAAGTCTAGCAGAAGACTCATTCGTGGGCTTTGCACAACACTATGGTGTGGCCCCTAGAGCAAGCTCCTTATGAAACTATAAATAAAGAATAATATTCTCAAATACTATGGCTTCATAGGATCTTGCACTTGAAATCACAAAAGGAGTCTTCAGATACTCATAGCACCTGGGCAGATGGTTAAAATAATATAACAAGGTCTTTCGTTTGATCAATTCGAAGTGTTTTATAAATTTCAGATGGCAAATAAATACTGCAAATTTTTTTTAGTTCATATCTAAGATATTTCCAAAGACTTTTCCAGTCTGTTCTTCGTGCATCTTGCTCGGCTCTGCCTGACGCAGGTGTTTCCTGCTTGGTCTGCTCGATTTCTTTTTCCTTGATTAAGCACCATGCTTACCAGCTGCTTTTTTTAAACCTGATTTTGATGGGATTTCCTCGTTTCAAAGAGTCTTTCATACTCAGTGTCAGTTCTGCTTGCTGCAAACATGGTGATGAGATAAATCTGGGGGGACTCTGCACAGTATTCTGGGGAAAGCCTGGATTGCCTGGGGCAGGTTTGCTTTACTGAGAGGTCCCATGCCGTAGCAAAATCACAGAAGGCACTTTCATTTCAGTGCTTGATTTCCAAAAGGCAGCTTCTTCACGTGCCACCCTGGGTCCACGCTGGGGTCTGAAGTGCATGAAGTTCTAAGATTTGCCTGGAAGCAGGGGTGGGAGAAGGGTTGCAGTGTGAGCAGAGGTTTGAGACTGGCAGGGCCCTACCTCTCTTTAACCAAACAGCTGGGCTTTACTTGGGGGACAAAAAGGTAACAGAGCTCAAAAAAATTTTTTAAACATAAGTTTTATAGATACACATTGCTGTCAAAGCTATCCCAATTTGTAGTCTTATCAATAGTGTTCTTCCATATGCTCACTAATACATATGTATTCTATCTTCTTAGATTTTTCTAGTCTCAGAGGTAAAAAATTATATCTCATTGGAATTTGCATTTCCATTTTTAATAGCGAGGGTGAGACTGTCTTATATGTTTATTGGTCATTTATACTTTTTCTGTGAATTTCCCATTTACATATTTTACCCATGTTTATTAAGTACTTACTGATATATAGGAGGTATTTGATATTAAGATATCAATACCTTGTTAGATATGTTAAAATACTTTCAACCAAGCTGCACTTGTCTTACTTTTTTCTTGTCTTTTAAAGCTTTGTGGTAGGATGCTATTCTTGCTCATTTTCTCCTTAGGTGAAATTTTAGAATCACTTTCCATAAAAACCTTCATTGGAATTTTGATTGAGATTGTATTGAACATACAGATTAATTTGAGAAAACAAAATGAACACCATTTAATAATATAGTGTATCGTTCTGATCACTTAGATTTTTCAGTGTCCTCAGTAAAATATTATTTTTTAAAGATCTGTAATTTCTTCATGGGCTTATTTCCAGATATTTTATAGTGTTATTGTGATTGTGAATACAATCATTTTATAATTGGTTGCTTCTGGTGTACAGAAAGGTTTTTTTTATATATATTAATCTCATTCTGGGCACCTCTACTGAACTGTTTTATTGACATCATAATATTTCAACTAATTCTCTTTGATTTTCTGGTGGAAAGATGTATCTGAAAATGATGACAATCTTGACTTTTTTTTTTTCTTTCCAATGTTTATAACTCAATTCTTCCTTATTAGATTGGCCGTGACCTCAGTACTATGTTGCAGGTGGGCATCTGTGTTAGTTTCCAACTGCTGCTATGACAAATTACCGCAAACCTGGTGATTTAAAGCAATATAATTTTATTATCTTTCAGTTCTGGAGGTCGGAAGTCCAGAATGGATTTCACTAGGCTAAAATCGAGGTGTGTGCAGGCTGTGCTTCTCCTGGGGTGCTGAGGGGAGATTCCATTCCCTGTTCTAGAGGCCCTTCCTCCGTCAAAGCCAGCAGTGCTACATCTTCCAGTGTTTCTCTGACTCGGACACGACCTTCTTTCACAGACCTTCTTTCACAGATAAGAGCCGTTAGGATTACATTGGGCCCACCCAGATAATCCAGATAATCTCCCCATCTAAAGATCTTCAATTTAATCACATCTGCAAAACTCCTTTTGCACTGTAAGGTAACATAGCTACAGGTTCCAGGGGTTAGGACATGGATATCTTTGGAGGCTGTCACTCTGACAACCCCAGCATCCTTGCCTTAATTAATGAGAATGAGTCTAATATCTTAGCATTAAAAATACGGTTTAGTTTAGGTTTCTTTTAAACCATTTTTATGAAATCTAAAAGCTTCCTTTTCTTCTTAGCTTCCTAAAGCTTTTACAGGAAAGCATATTGAATTTTCTTTTTTAATTTGAGGGCATACATTCTGATGGTACTATTCTTCTCTCTTAATCTGTTAATGTAATAGGTTACATTAATAGATTTCCTCATGTTGAAACATCCTTGCAATTCTAAGATAAGCTCTATTTGGTCATGATCCATTATTCTTTTTATACAATGATGGATTCAAGTTGCTAATATTTTACTTAGTATAATTATATCTATGTTCAAAGTAAGAATGGCTCGTAATTGCATGTGTGTGTGTCAGCATGTGCTCTATCCTTGTATAATTTTAAAATCTGGAGTATGCCCTTAGGTGAACTTTATGAGACCCATGTTGTTCTCACATTTAATGTTAAATAGCGACAGATGATTGTGAACGCTGACTCCCCCAGGTAGGTCTCATGTGACAACCTGGTATAAGCCACAAGCTCTGTTTTTCTTGACTGATTTGTTGGGGAAATGTTTTGACTTTACAAAAGTGACATAGCTTTGATGGATGGTCCTCAAGAAAGAAAAATTTGTGCATGCAAAATTAGGGAGAATGAGTAAATTGAGAATCATCTTAAAGGAGTTGCTGAATGCAAGTGAGCAAAAGAGTCCCATTATATAAATTGTCTTTAAATAAAATAAAATGTTGGTGTGTTATGGAAATGGAATGGGTTCATATGAACATGGGAGGCAAGCGCTGATAATACTTTAAATTTGAGGTTTGGGGCATATCTCCTTTGAAGAATTGTGTTTCCCACTGAAGAAAGCCATACAGATATAAGGGAATGTTCTAGTAGGAAGTCAGAATAGTTTCACTGACCCCAGAGGCCAAGAGATGGCTTAATTACTATCTTCAAGTACATGAAAGGTGATGAGCAGATCCTGGCTGGTGCTCTGTTTATAGAGATAAAAGGTCAGAAGATGGCTGCACTTTACAACAGCAACAAGTTTGTTTGCAGAAGAAAATACCCTGACTCTCGAAATAGACTAAGTGCCAAGACGATAAAAAGTTTCAAGGCAAATTTGATCTT